GTTTTTCTCGGAACGCGCTTACACGTACGGTAGCTCTTGCTACCGACTTACACGTCTTGTTAGTATTCGCGTTACGCTGAGCCTTACGATTGTTTCGCGGCAGTAATTAATTCAAGTATAGGCAACGCAATCAAACTTAACCGTCGCGTGTTATCGACGCGCGGATGCGTTTTCCATTAACTCTTGGATGGAAACTGCAATGCAATCGCTACCAATAAACTTCACACGGCTGCCTTCGTTTGGGAACTTTCGTTTCCGAATCATCGGGGGGATCGTTTTAAGCTGCGGTGCTTGTCAATTATTTGAGATTGAAATATCTAATTTTATCTTCCTTTTTCGTATGGATATGTGCACGTACATTTTTAAGCTTGAAAGTTTCGTGCCTAACGGTATCTCAAGGCTACGAATAAAAATATTTCGGTCGCATTTTTAATTATTTTCTCATTCGAAGAGCGTTGGCCAGGCAAGTGTTCGTCCTCGATTATTTCCCTCGGCGTGGTTCCCGCGTTTTCGGCAGTATGTTTGAACGGCGCAGAACGGTAGCAGGATGCGATAACGCCGCAGCGTCGTAATTCAAAGATAGCGGGTTGTTTAACGCGGTAACAGTGGCTCCTTTGTCGTGGCGAGCGCTGAGATCGTGAAACGATCTGGCTTAAGAATTCCACGGTGCGCGAAGGCCGTTGAATTCTCCCCGGAAAATCCGGAAGTGAGTAAACGCGGCAGAAGCAGGGACGAATCAAGCAATTGGACTTTAGGGGTCACTTCTAGAGATTAAATTAAATTTATTTCATTTATTGCATATGCTAGAGATTGTTGAAGAAGAAGACGTCGTTAAAATAATAAAATTCAGTAATTGGTCTTTGCTGTTCTCTACTTTGAGCTGTACCATGCATATGTTACATGTATCATGAATTTTATTCATAGATTTTATTGAATACATGAATTTTTTCATAAATTTTGTTAAGCATACAAATTTTATTCATAAATTGTATTAAATACATGAATTTCATTATTCTAAAAATGGTTCAATTAACGTGTCACGTGTGTACATGTACTGTTTACATTCTGGGGTGGCTGAAGGGTGCACCAAATCTAAATTCGGCCATCGGGAGTGGCGCTCGACTTGAAATCGGGTTCTGGTCGCGCTCGATCCGCGCGACAACTGCTGCAACAACATCATAGAGTATTTAATCCGGAATTTCAAATGGAAGAGAGAAAGCGAGAGAGAGAGAGAGAGAGAGAGAGAGAGAGAGAGAGAGAGAGAGAGAGGGAGAGAGAGAGAGAGAGAGAGAGAGAGAGAAAGCGTATCGACGCAGCCCCGAGCGATAGATTCGGCCAGTGCGCGAAAACGGGGTTGCAACCCTCCGCTGGAAGTGCACCCTATCCCTCGCCGGGTCATTAATAATATACCCATATTGGACACAATTCACCTTGAAATTAACCGGCAGCCGATTGGTAAGCCCGGGCAAATTGACTTCGAAATTGACAATTTATGGTCGTTCGCTTCGTCCTAGCTCGCGATTCTCTCGCTCGCGGGATCATTTTTCTCAAAACGGTCCTCATTTGCTGAACGATCGTTCTCCTCGATCGCTTTTGCTTAGCATGGAGTTGGAACGTTGAGTGGAAAAATGATTGATCCCGCGATGTTAGATGTTTGGAACGTTAGGAATTGTAAGAAGTGCCTTTGGCTTTGTTGTATGGGTTCCTCAGAAATTTAGCAATTTAAATTTTACATGTACATCTCCGAATTAACTAAATATTTACAATGCATACAGTAACATTCAGTCTTCGATGAAATATTAATAACAATCACAGTTCGGTATAAGTATTCATTAAGCACACTAATTGTGAGAAATATTTCTAAATTTTAGACTCTTCCCAAGATAGCATCGGACAGATAGATCGTTTCCAGAATAGCAGGCACCGCGCATCCGTCGATTGGACCTGTTCATAATCGATTCTTTGTCGACCAGACGAGCCTCGCACCGACAAAAGTGGCTAAACGGCTCATCACGCTGAGAATTGGTTGCAATTTATTCGCACAGTGTATGGACCCTATTCCGGTTTTCTATTTCTCCTGGTGGCAGGTCTCTGTTCGAGTCGTTCGAACGTCCGTCCAACGGCTTCTCAGCCGCTGGTACAACGATCATTAAGGCGGGCAACGATCGGATCGAAGCACCTGGCGCGATCATCGCGAATCCCACACGCGATACTCGACCGGACGCGGATCGAGCGCATCGCGAAACAGACTCTATATCTAATCGATCGATCTGCCGTGTCGCAACCTCGATCGATCTGGATCGGGGACCGCCTATTCACGAGCGACTTGTTTATCGACCAGAGACAAGTTCGTTTTCGACGACGATCCATCGCGACTTTTCGAACGACACCGAACTAGACTGTGATGTCGCAGTGCGTTGTAAAGAAAAAATTGGCGCCAAAGAGCCAGCAATCATTGCGTTAAAGTATCCTTGTCTCGCTATAACCGATCGAGGAATTAATTTCGTCGAGTCGAAACGAAATCTGGTAGCTGCGGGGCCGCCGCGCCGTTGCCGCAACCTGCGCCGATTATCGCTCTCTTGGCCAACGATCTCCGCGCCCCTTCCAGCGCGACGATTTCGCAACCAGCTTTCTCGATATCCGCACGATTTTCCCCGCGAGTAATTCGTTTCTCGATTTACGACCGCGCGCCAGGAAATTCCTGAACGTCGCCGAAAGCGGCGTTGCTTTGGATAGAAACCGAGAAGTTTTCATTCGAACGAGATTTACGGTTCGACAGGCATACATACGCGTGGTGCAAGTTGATTAGAGGTAAAAACAGGGCAGAGTCGATTGTATTTTTAGGGGAAGTTGTAGGAGGACGCTTGGAAATAACAGAAAATGGACTTGGAAGCATCGTTTCCCCGTCTTGGGAAAAGTTCGATATTTGATATATCTGGAATTTATATTTCCACGAATTTTGAATCATCATCGAGTTCCATCCATCCCCGAGTCCCACTGCAACTGGGGCCCTCCATTCCGTGCCCCAAGATGGAGGCCACTCAGGAGAGATGGTCACCTAACGACAGTTTTTAGCGAAAGGGGTTGGTGCATCGTGTTACCTTGACTTTGAAAGGGTCCCGACAGTGGACGGTGACGTATCCAAGGCGGAGAAGAAAGGAACCGCCGATCCGTCGGCGGTTTTCTTATTTCGCTGGTAGACTCGTACGCAAACAAGTACGTATTATGCAGGTCTAAGCGTTCGAGAGTGCGTTCTTGTTTTCGGTGTAACCCGAAGCTAAGCGGTTTAAGAGATCAACGCCGTATAAACCGGCCGTCTGAGAATCGTCTGCAGATCCCGTGCGTGAGAGAAGGCGGAGAGACAGAGCGAGGGAGGGAGGGACGGAGAGCGAGAGAGAGGGGAGAGAAGGTAACGTAAGAAAAGAGAAACGAGGGATGCTGGGAGTGGGAGGGCGCCAGAGGAACGGAGAACGAGAGATCGAGGATCGGGATGATAGAGAGAGAAAGAAGCACGCGGTTCGACCTGGGGTAGGAGGGCTAGGAGAAACGTGGAGTTAAACGATGGATGAGGAGAACTCTGGCCAACGGAGGAGCAAGGAGGGCAGGCAGAAAGACGGGATGAAAAATTAGATTTACAAATCTGTCCTGACTACTATGAGATTGCTCGCTTACCGGGCCAGAGATGCTCAACCGTAGGGATGCGATCCTTCTGGCGCCTAGGCTATAAATATCGAAGGGACTTGGAGTTCTCCGCTGGGAGATTCGATTGTACTCGCAGGTCCAGTTCTGCTTTGGTCGTCGGCTTCTGTATCGTTAGTGGAGACCACTGTACTCGAATGTTGACAAATTAGGGGTTGAAAGTTGATGTAATACATGTTTGAGTATGTCTCGACTCGTTTGAGAGCCACTGGTAGCACCAGGCGCTATATCGGGAACGTCGGAAAGGATCCCGCCGCGGGAACAACGAGTCCCGGGCGTTTTCACCAAAGCAAAAGCTTGAATCACGCGCGTAAGCGTATGTACACATTGCGCGACGTGTGTCCGTGCGCGACGTGTGCATAGAAGCGCCACTCCGGCGCCTGCTGCCTATGAAAAATGACTATTACTGCCAACCACAGCGTCTCCTCTTCGAGGATTGCCTTCGAGATCCTCTGAAGTTTCCTCGCGGCGACAGTCAGCAACCTTCAATCGCCTTGCCTTCAACGATCTTTATTTCCTTAAACAATTTCCAAACTACCAAACTATTTACTTAACTCTCCTCCCATTTTCACACGATTATATCTCGGTTAGATTAAAATTTGCCTTTGTGATCGCGTCCAACGAGAGCCTCGTAGCTCGTGTGAATACGCGCAGCCTACTTGGTCCGCCCCCTCGACCCACGCGCACCTTTATCTTCCCCTCTGTTAGGTTTATCGCGGCAGCGTCGCTACGTATTAGCCGGTATCTCCGCACCTCGTGACACTTTCGCTCGCGACGACGTGCACCCTGATCGCGAGCTCCACGTTCGCCTTTCCTCGCCACTAGAACCAATTCTCGAAACAAATGCGTCTCTGCAGGCCGATGGGACTTGAAACTCGTAAAACTCGAGCATCGAGCTCTACCTTTCGAGCTCTCCTGAAGAATCAAGTCAAGGAAAGCTCGAAATTATTATAGTCCAACAACCTATGACTTTCAGTAGCTTGGTTATAGCTTGGTCGCGTGGTTGTCAGAGGTCCCTATACGTTCCAGTTCCACCCTTCGAGCCCTGCCTCTTGAGAAACCAGCCCATGGAAGTCTCGAACGTTTCAAACCTCGAAATTATTCTCAAACTCTCCAATTTTCCAGTAGTTTATCCGCGCGTGATTATCAGAGACCCTTATACGAACAGTTTAGCCCACCCCCTGGCATGTATCCGCCCAAGGCGTTTTTTCTCGCGCGAAACTAACCGTTCGCGGATCGGGGTAAGACGTTACCTCGATGACAGGTGTCTCTAACCACAGTAACTCTCTACCACTGTACAGCTCCAGGCCAGGAAGACCACCAAAGAGAGCCTCCGTCGGTCTGAGCCTCGCAGCCAGCCACCTGGCCGCGGCTACCGGCCACCACCCCCAGCACTCGTTGAAGAAGCACAGAATGGACAACGGGGATTACTACGAGAACGGGCATTTGGGTGAGTGTCGAAGCTTCCTTTAGTTGATAACTCGACGACCATCGTCGCGTCTCGATCGATCGAACCGGTCGTCGGTCGCGGCGCGCTTACCGCGCCGGTTACGAGCGCGCGAACGACTTTTCGACCATTTGCGGTCCAGAGTTCCCTCGCGACCACGACGTTCGTATTTTACTAGCCGCTGCTCCGAGTCTCCGTGCACGACGTTTTATGGAAATGGCGCGGATTTGACGACAGTGTTGCTGAAACTCGGCTGGTTATTTAAGCCCGCGTTTGGTAACGACATGGTTTCGGTGTTGGTAAGTGGGTTGGAACGGCGAGAACGACGCACTAAAATTTATATTATAATAAAATATTGTAATAAAATAAGCGGTCGAATTTTCGGAATATATCGCGCTCGTGAAAACGCGGATGGGTTTCTTGGAATCTTAGGGCACCTGTCGATGTTCATACAGTAACCTCTTTTAGAAGACAATTTTTTTTTATAGAGCAACTGCTCGAGAAGTTCATTTTGTAGAAGACGGAGAATGTCCTTGTTGTCTCGACTATAGCTACCATAGATTCTTAAGCTCGATATAAAAATAACAACAGTAAATCGAATCGGTCCATTTCCAAATTATCAAATTAAAATAAAAAAGTTAAAGTCATCGTTATTAAACTACGTCGACGTAAATTTCTGGCACGTAGACATCAATGTCGTCGTAGTTGCTCGAACAACATTTAGCGATGTACTCGTCCCAACAAACGATCCGGGTAGACCGATCGAAGCCGCGGTGGAGCTTTTCTCCGAGGTCCTGGCGACATCAAACGCATCGAAAGACATATCTGCTTGCCTGCACGCAAAGTGTGTGCTCGCGCAGAGGCGAGTAACCCTGGTACCAGGGGCACGCACTTGATTACTGCCATCCGTATACGCGCCGGGCCACGGTGACCCCACCGATCAATTAATTAGGGGAATCAAACACACTTGGAGTGAGCAAATTAACTGCAACTGCACCGTGGCGTTGCGCGGCCTGTGACAGCGGTTGCCGATACCAGAATATCGGCACTAACCGTGACCCGCGTGCTTCGCTGCTGACCAATCACCTACCTATCCTGCTTGGTCGCTGGCAAAAATTCTCGAGACACATCTAGTTGCTCAGCTCTCTGAAATCGGCAATTACACCTGAATTAGGTTAGCATACTGCAACGCGATTCTAATGTTGGGGAATTTTGTAAATCTTCAGAGTAAGATTTCGATGATTCTTTGTCGCAGAGGTATGAGTATCGTTCTTCATTTCATCTTAACCAACCTAAATTGTAAATAAAGGTTAATTAATTAAAGACACCCAGATCGGTAAAGGATTCAAATTTCATTAGGCTCGTAGACATAAAAGTCCAACCAAGTGCCCTCGCATTTAAACTGTATACAATAGCCCATGTAAGTTGATGTCATTCCCCTGTAGACTCTTTGAAACTGTTCCTGTAACGGGGTTCCCGTCCAACTCGCTTCTCGAGAATTTTTCCTCGGCAAGCCTCGGAGTATATTGCCGGCGCGAATCGTAAAATCGCGTCGATATCGCCGTGTTCGGAAATTGGTTAAGCAAATAATCGCGAATACGCCGGCCGTTCAATTTTACGGGCAAATACGTTTGACGGTGCAACGTTAATGAATTAATGCCGCGCGGACGAGCGCGAGCGCGAGCGCGTCGAGTTTCGGAACCGCGACTGCAATCGGGGTAAACGTGGAAACGGCGAGCAATTAATTACGAGCCCGCGGTAATTGTATAATTGTTTTACGACTGAATCCCCCTTTGCAAGTACGATTGATCGAGGCGGCGCGACCCTGTCGAATGCTTGCCCAGATTTTCCTCTAAAAATCCGTCCGAAGGATGTTTATTCGGTTTTTTGGGTAGAACGCTTTCCAAATTATTTTGGAGAATATTTTGTAAAATTTCCGAACACCGTTTCCCCGTTAATATTATATTTCTTTATACCATGTGTAAGCTAGACGGTTGAACATTCCAAGAGAACTTTCGATACACCCGTTGCAAAGATCGCGTCTCCTCGTTGGGAGCAATAAATTGAAGAAGATGGAACCACGATCGACCGCAGGAGTTTTTTCAATTTGGATCGGTAGGCGAGCAGGCGGACAGCACTTGCCATAACGCAATTAATAAACTCAACGAGCGAGATCCGATCCCGATAGCGGCGGCGTAACATCCATTCGGGGACGAAGCGGGGCACAATGGCCGTGTATACGCGCACGCAGCGGCGCGGACGGCCGATACGCATCTATGTTGTCTCTACGAAATTAAAACCGATGAGAAAAATAAATAGCCCGCGGGAGAGGGGTTTCCCACACACAGAGAGAGAGAGAGAGAGAGAGGGGGGGGGGGAGATTGGAGCGTCAGGAAGTAGCCAGGACGTGTGCGCGCCGTGTGTGCCCACGATGGGAAAGCACGTTTCCCTCGCGCCTTTTTCGACGTCGTCGCGGCTTACGTTTCAACGTCGATCGTTTTCCGATGGAAACTATTCCCGTGCCTCTTCAACTAGCCCGACCCACGTAATAAACTAATGACTATCGGCTAACGTCGAACGATTCGCGCGCGTTCCCACTCACGCGGCAGCGTAATTATTTAATGCATCGATTACCGAAATAGCATTAATCAAATTGGCCGGCCGCAATTTATATTATATGACCTAATGCATAGCGAATCGTACATTAATGCGCAAACTAAATAAATTATCCAAGCACACGCGTTTACGCGAGGGGCCAAGGGATGGGAGAAATTCTTATCTGCGGAGAATGGGACGCGTTGAGGGTGCAGGGTCTGCTTTGGTCGATGCACGGTGAGGGAAAAATAGATTTTTGATTGGTGTACAGCCCTTCGATACACATCTCTTTCATAGGTACACCTACCCCTAAATTTCCAAAGAGTAATCTTGGTTCCTATCCCATTTGTCTCCATTAATTTCTAGCATATTCAAACTCTACTATGCGAAGGTGGCCAAAATTCTTCAATCCACGAGGAGGTTTCTCCTCGGTAATGCGTCTAGTTTGGACAGGAACGCACCGCGAGGCGAACGGGTCGCGGTTTTCGAATCGCTGAACGGCAAAGGGGGGGCTGGTCCGAGCGGACGCGCGCGAGAGAGTGTGCGGCCGAGTGGGTGGCAGGGTGGTTTGGCCAGTCGCGGCTGCAACGACGCTGTACTGGCGAGCGAATGCTCATAAAAGCATTGATTAACTGTTGCCGGTCGTAGGTCAGCCAACGCGGTTGGCTCGTGTACCAATAAAACCCGGTTAATAGGGGGCCGACGTCGCTTCGATATCGCGCCATCGACCGTTCCCCGAGACCTCTCCACTGCCGCGACAATTTTCACGCTTTCGAGGGGTCGACAACGGGTTAGCCAGAGAGACCAGCGCCCCCTAAAGCTCGTGGTTGCGACAGAGAGCCAGCCCTCGATATTCGAGGCCGTTAACGTATTTAAAATATTTAATTTTTTGGAAAAAAACGCGATTAAGGGAACTTCTGAGAAATGATCGCGAAGACTTGTCTAGGTTGGAATACTTATGGGACTGACTATATGTTACATTCGTCTGTTAAAACATTTATCTGAAATCGAATATTCGAAATCATTCCTAAGCCAGAGGTCAACGCAACGCCAAGTGTCGGAGAATCCAATCCAAAGGGGACAGCATCGACTCTTATAAAATACCAGGACGTTTCCCTCTCCCGTCAACAAAATTTCAGAATAGAGTTTGGAAGCCACGAATTTGCGGTCGAGACGGAGCCTCAGGATCGGATATCCGCAAGAAGTAATTAATGAATCCGGTGGCAAGGGATGAATCTCCTGGAGGAAAAGGACTCGCGTGTTCCTGCGAGCAGAGGTTCTTGCGGTGCGACGAGTATCGTCGATGGTGAGATTGGGGGAGGAATCTAGCGAATGGGGCGACGAGAACCACTGGCTTACGTGGAATTTTCACCCTGCGGTCAGAAATTACGCGGGGTGGACACGCTCGGACAGCGAGGGACGCGAAACCGAAGCCAAAACCGAGCGGACCGGGGAGATTTGACGCGAAAGTGAAATAATCCTCGCGATTAAAGCGATAATAATGTCGCCCGAGATTATTACGCGGTCCGCGTTACAGCGACGCAGGGGCTCGACGCCATAACGCCGAATGGACGCGCGTTCATCCGTCGATGTGCTTCGCAGATGAACATTTTATTCGAATAACACGTAAACGGACGCAATTTCTATGTAATTGATTTGGGAGGTTATTGGGATACGCTTTTATTCGTTGAACGTGAAACGTTACTTGATTAGAGAGAAATTGATTGGGGAACATTATTGGAAACGTTATGATACTTTTCGATGCATTGAGTTGAGCGTTGTTATTATTATTGTAGCGTCCGCGCCTCCCATACCCAACAATAAGGAGTTAAATAAGAACACGAAACGTAGGGTACGGGATTGGTCGCGTAGGTAAAGCGGTCGACTGTGGATCCGAGGATCGTGGCTTCGAATCCCTGTGCCTTATTTTTCGTTTAGACTCCTACATTACACTAGGTTAATTTAAATGTAACTTCTGTTATACATAACATAATCGCTATCCCTGATCGTAATCTATTTCCGTGTAGCAAGCAGCATAAATTATTTGTGAATCAACCTAATGGAATAATCAGCTTAAAAAGCATCGTTTTTAGCCTTACAGTTTCGACGATAGGTACGACTAAACACAAAAGTCTAATACGGAGTTTAATTGGTCAGTCAGATATGAAAGTCGACGAAAACATTCCTTGGCCAGAACGAGTTAAAGCATGACATTCAAATACGAGTAACTCCACACAGAAATCCAACGAGCAGACTGAAACTTTCGATTAAATTGGTTACGGTAAAGGTATCGAATTAGGAGCAAGTAAGTGTATTATTGGTGAAGCAAGAAGTAGAACGACGCCCGAGGAATGTTTTATGAAATCGATTTGACAGTGAACGTATTAAGACACGTAGGAGAAGTGAAA